CCACTTAAAGAGGCTGGCCCGCACAGCTGGCCCCCTTCCTCGCGCCCGAGCCGCTATGATTGGCATCCACGAGCGAGCCGCTCGTGCTGGAATGTAGGCCCTCCTACAGCAGCAACAAGAACTGCATCGCCGCCGAACCACACAGATCACGCCGCAGAAGGCCTACATGACGTCCCTCAACGAGCAGCTCTACACCGACACGATGGCAGACACCATAAAGCGGCGTCTCCTGTCCTGGCTCCCGTCCCTTGAGCCTGCGAAGTCGCTCACCAGGGAGCCGCTCAGCGGGCCTCGCCGAAATGCCGAAATCGTTCAAGAACGTCTGGCCGACCGAGCTCGCGCATGGGCCGCCCACTGGCTTCCCGACATCCTGCTCAATGACCACACGATCGACAACCGCTTAGACTGGATGCAGTGGTGCACGGAGTACCTGCACGAGCTCCTCGGGTCCGAGACCTTTCGCCCGCTTTATGCCACCTCCGTTCGCCGACGACAGATCGCCGCCGACATGTGTCAGCAGGCATGGGACAACAGCGGTACTGGCAGAATCCTCCTCGAACACCGTCTCTCAAGAACTCGGTCCCGCCCAGATGAACCGAGCGGCCTGACTTCGCTACTTCAGCATGAAGCCGCCCAACATCGCGCCCGCCGCCGTTGGGTCGCCAACTTTCTCCCGCACCAGCTGCCCGACACCGACATCAGCGACGCCGACTTCCCCGACGGCGACGAAGACCCTCCAGATGACGAAGGCGAGCCGCCTGATCTTCTTCGTCTCCATCGGGTTCCCGCCGACCTTCCAGCTCGTTGGAAACGCCTGCGCACCTACCTGGCTACGCAACCGCCTGCACGGATGTGGGCCACAGTGAAGGCCCTCGTGGGTGCATGGACCACCAGCTACCGCATGCATGTCATCCAGGACAAGCGCCCTTGCCACTTCGGGTGCAATCACCCGCTCGCCAAGGACAACATTCAGCACTACATGACGTGCGAACGCATGTGGCACCAGCTGAGCCTGCCTCGCGGCCAGCTGAGCGCCGACCTCCTCACGCGCATGGCGCTCCCCGAGCTGTCACACCCGTTCGACGGCGAGAACGGCATCCCGAACTCCGCCACGCGCCTCGCCGTCGCGGCGCGGGCGTACCACCTCACCAAGGACCACCCCCTCCCGATCTCCTACCACAACCAGTACACGGCCTTCGCCGCCGCTCGCCGCGCCCTCCAGCTCCCGGCTGACCTGAGCGGAGGTGCGGGCGCGCCGCGGCTCGGCTAAGCGCGGACGAACCTTCCTTCAAGGTTACGTTCGCTCTTGTTGTTCCTCCTCCTCCTCCTCCGTCTCCTCCTCCATTGTCCTCCTCCTCCTGCTCCTCCTCCTCCTGCTCCTCCTCCTCCTCCTTCTCCTCCGTCCTCGTCCTCCTCCTCCTCCTCCTCCTCCTCCTCCTCCGCCTCCGCCCTCCACCTCCTACTCCTTCTCCTCCTCCTTCCTCTTCATCCTCATCCTCGCCCTGCTCCCCCATCCTCCTCCTTCTCCTCCTCCGCCTCCTCCTCCTCGTCCTCGTCCTTCCCCTCCTCATGCTCCTCCTCGTCCTCCTCCTCCGCCTCCTCCTCCTCCCCCTCCTCCACCTCCCCTTCTCCTCCTGTGAGAGGAAGATGAAGAGGAGTTGGCGGATGATTTTTTTAGTCTCCCGTGCGCCCAGCGTTGTGCGCAGGCAGTGAAGGGGAGCTGTGCGCAGTACAGAAGGGCGAGGAGAATCAGAGGAGGAAGGGGTGCCCATACCACCGCCTTTTTTCGGCCCTCCTGGGAGGCCCTCGTCGCCACCGCTGAATTCGCCCGTGGAAACCCTGGTCACAACGCACCTCAGGAGAGATCTGGGGAGTAGCAGTATCGGTATCTTTGGGTCCCCCCAGAGGAGGATGAGGATCTAGACATGCTCGCGTCGCCAAAAAAGCAGGACGGACGTTGTTCGCCGTCCTCGGGCTCTGCATGTCCTCGCCGGGCCTCTGATCGTCCAAGAACAACACGGGATGAGAAGCCGGTCCCGGGGAGTAGGCCGGAATTTCCAGGGACCGCGTGTCGAAACATTCAGGACGTCGCATGTCTTCGGTGGCTAGCCCGGGGGGAATCAAGAAGGGGCGGGCCTTTTCAGAAGGCTTTGAAGTCCCTTGGCCTTCAGGGAAGTTTCCTGAGCCATCTCCGAAGACGCAGAAGACTTCTCAGAAGGCCAGAACGCTTCCGAGAAGTCCCGCAGCCTTCCGAGAAGGCCTTCTCCTTCTAATTGCCCTCCTCGCTCGCCGCCGAGTCTGGGGAGGAGGTGGCGGATGAGCGTTGTGGCCGCAGCGGCGAGAACCTTGGCCGCTTTCTGGGGCAGACGCGGGGTGGGAGGGAGGGCGGCGCGCGGAGGCAAGGGCGGGAGCCCGCTCGGAACACGCAGTCCGTCAGCGTGTGAGGTGGAAGATCTTGCGCCGGCACCATCCTCCACCTCCTCCTCCTCCGTCCTCCTCCTCCTCCTCCTCCTCCGCCTCCTCCTCCTCCTCCTCCTCCTCCTCCTCCTCCTCCTCCGCCTCGCAATTGGTACGGAAACACTGCGTGCGACGATTGGCAGCAACCCCTGCCCATGTTGGCCAGGGTCTGCTGCCTGTGCCGCCGCGGGCGTCGTCCACTTGAGGCAGAGGATCGCCTGCCCAGCAGCGGCCGCTGTCGGTTTCGGACAACACGTGCTGTTGGGCATCGTACCCAGTTCTTCCGTACCCGTTTCGGGCGTCCAAGTTGTGGCGGATGAAAAAGAGGGTGAGCAGCAGAGAGAGGGTGAGGAAGGGGCGGGAGGAGGAGGAGGAGGAGGAGGAGGAGGAGGAAGAAGAAGAAGAAGAAGAAGCAGAACAGCAGGAGCAGGAGCAGGAGCAGGAGCAGGAGCAGGAGCAGGAAGGGCAGGAGGACCAGCGGAAGGCGGAGGAGGGGAAACGAGCGGGGCGACAACGCCTCGGCTCCAGAATTGTGGCCTGCGCTGGGACGGGAACGACATTTTTGAGCGACGGGAGCCACGCGCCGATCCTGAACAAAACGAAGCTCGCGCTGCAGCGGGGGCACAATCCCTGAACCGCTGGGAACGCTCCGATTGAGACATCGGTTTGGATATCACCTCGGGGAAGCGGCACGCGCCGCGCGCCTCTGAGGAGAGGGGGAGGGGGCCCTGGGGCACATTCTCCCTCCTCCTCCTCCTCCTCCTCCTCCTCCTCGTCCTCCTCCCTCCTCCCTCCTCCTCCTCCCTCCTCCTCCTCCTCCTCCTCCTCCTCCTCCTCCTCCTCCTTCTCCTCCTTCTCCTCCTCCTCCCTCCTCCTCTTTGAAGGCCTGCACGTCGGGGAACCAAAAAACCAACGCACGCGGGAGAAGCGGGCCGCTCTCGGACTCCATGCCATGCGGTGACCTGAATCCAGGACGCGGTCGGGGCAGCCCAGGGACGCTGCGGGGCCAACTTGGAGGGGGAGGAGGAGGAGGAGAAGGAGGAGGAGGAGGAGGAGGAGGAGGAGGAGGAGGAGGAGGAGGAGGAGGAGGAGGAGGAGATGGGGGAGGAGGAGGGGGAGGATATGGGAGAGGAGAGGGGGAGGAAGAGGAGGAGGAGGGAGGAGGAGGAGGACGGGGGGAGGAGGAGGAGGAGGAGGAGGAGGAGGAGGAGGAGGAGGAGGAGGACCGGCGCGGACGGGGCGAGGACGCCGCGGGCGGCGGAGCAGGCTCGGGCCGTGTGAAGATCTCGTGCGCGCGTGCCGGAGTGCGGGCCTGCACGGGTATGGCAGAGCGGGAGTGGCGACGCGAGCTTGCGTGCCAGGGCGCGGCAGGTCCAGGCCGCGCTCGGACAGGAGTCGGGGACAGGGGAGAGCACTGTGCACATCGAGCACGTGATGAGACGGAGGAGGAAGGAGAGGAGGAGGAGGAGGAGGAGGAGGAGGAGGAGGAGGAGGAGGAGGAGGGGGAGGAGGAGGACGAGGAAAAGGAGGAGGCGGAGGAGGAGGAGGAAGAGGAGGAGGAGGGAGAGAAGTGGAGAGGATGGCGAGAAATGACGGGTGAGGGTGGAGGGTGACGTGGGGAGAAGGGCGAGGAGGAGAAGGTCAAGCTAGGTAGGCTCGTGCCAAATCAGACATCCACCGTACCCCTCGCACCCATGCCTTCCTATGACGTCGAATCCTGTGTTATCCGCTGAATGGGATGTCCTAGAGGACTTTGATGCCCAAGTGTCAACTCCAGAATTTGACCTATCGTTTACTGCGTAATCGGATCGGAAAGGCTTTGTACGTAGGAAGTTGTGGAGGATGGGAGGAGGTGGAAGAGGAGGAGGAGGAGGAGGAGGACAAGAAGGAGGAGGAGAAGGAGGCGGAGGAGGAGACGAACAGCAAGGGGCACGAGATGGAGCCAGTGCAGGAGCAGGAGGAGTAGGAGGAGCAGGAGGACCAGGGGAAGGCGAAGAATGGGAACGGGGGGGTGAGCAACGGCGAGGGACGAATCGGATCCAGAAGGTCGGCCCGCGCTGTGACCAGAGCGCCCTTCTGAACGACAGGGGCGGAACACCGATGCTGAAATGTGGTTAACGTTGCGGCTGGAACACCATCTTGACGGACCGAGAGCGCTCCGTTCGAAAATACTGAGCACACACATACAGCACAACAGCGATTGGAATTTCGTGGGCGACAAAGCCATCCGGGAGCGAGGCCAGATCACACGCGCGAAATGTCAAGGGGAAGAGGAGGGTAGTGCTCATATTGACTAGGAGCGGCGGGCTCTAGGAGGGTTAGGGGAGGCAGGAGGAGGGTGAAAAGGATGAGGCCGAGGATTGGGAAGAGGAGGAGGAGGTGGAGGATGAGGAGGACGAGGGGGAACATGAACAGGAGGCTTGGGAGGAGGAGGAGGAGGAGGAGGAGGAGGAGGAAGAGGTGGGTACGAAACCGGGGATCGATGGAGGGGAAGGCGGAGAAGGTGAGCCGTGTGGCCGCGTCCTGGCTGCCCCCTCCCCCAGGTGTTGCAGAACGGCGCCGTGGTCGCGTCCTCCGACAGCCTCGGCCAGCTGATAGCCGAGGCTCTTTCTCTTCCAACATCCTTGTCCACATCGTCGCGCTCTTGACGCGTGCGCCCGAGTCCACTGATCCACGGACGCGGCTGTGCTCGTCCTGCGTTTCCTAGTCCTAGTCCTCCTCCTCCTCCTCCTCCTCCTCCTCCTGCCCCTCATTCTCCTACGCCTCCACCTCATGCTCCTCCTCCTCCTCCTGCCCCTGCCTCTCGTCCGCCTCAGCCACCATTCATGCTCATGCCTACCGTTCAGCGGTCCAGCAGGCAATCCCACGCAGAGCAGCTTCCGCCCTTCGGGGCATCCTCATGTGATACCAGCGTGGCTGGCCTTCTCGTCCCATATTTCCATATTCTGGGTCTGGATGTCGTTCTTGGAAGGGGGCGTATACAACCCGCTTTCCATGGGCTGCAACCCTGCAACCACAGGGTCTACACCTGGGGCTACGGACGCGGGCCTCCTACCGGCAGCCATGCTGGCGTCGCTATCATGGTCAGCGAACGCTTCAGGCAGCGCAATATCGTCGAGTTCCAGAGCCCTCCCCAGTAGATTTAAGGCCGCGTTCGAGTGCTACGTATCCGAAGAGGCGAACCCGACGTGACGTTCATGCCTGCATACATTCCACCGCGTGCAGGGATCGCGGCGAAGCACAACCAGTGGGCCAACACCGTCGACGAGACACCCAAGTGGACAAATCGCACGCTCAGCTAGACGCCCACGCGCGGCACCCCCACCATCGGCCTCTTCAACGGCCGCTGAGGCCAGGACGGTGTGATTGCAGGCACGGCCGGCGACGTCATCGGCCCTACGCCACCTGCGGGCATCCTTGGAGAACCGGCGACGGCGTCGAACACGTTCCGGGACTCAAAGCCCACCTACTTCGACAGCCACGGACAAGCGATTCGGCCAGACTATCCTGTTGTGCCGCAAGGGTCGCGACCGAACATCACATCATGCGCTGTATGGTGGGACGCTGCCAAGGCTCTTCGGCTGAGAAGGGACAACGCCCCGCGCGACCACGTTCCGCTCATTGCGACGGCCAACTTGGTCGTCTCCAGAGTGCTCACGGACATGCAGAGGACTTTCTGGGACTACGGTGAGGCGGCAAGCTCGCTGCAGACGGGAGCCTACCGCAGGAGTTTACCGAGGCGCTGGAGACTGCGTACCGGTACAAAGTGGACGAGACCCCGCGGATCCAAGCAGAGAGCACGACGGACACTTGCCATTGGGTGAGCAAGCGGCTGGATTTCGCAAAAATACCTCGGCGGTGACTTCTCTTCCGAGATAAGGAACAAACTTGACCTCCTGACTCGCGCCTTCAAGAGACAGAAGCAGGCCCGCGAACGCGAGAACCAGAACCCACTCGAGACCCTTATCTGCGAGGCCTGGACATGATATGAGCACGCAGACATTCATCAGGTATGGAGGTGCGTGGCAGGCGCCAACAATGGAAAGCGAAACAGGAACTAGAGCAGGCCCGCCTGAGCACGACCCAGCCTAAATTCATGGGCCGACGGCGTCGCGGCCGGCGGCCATGACGGAGGCTTCGAGCCGCGCCTGGTCGACCTGAAGGGGGAGAAAAAGATCCCCAAGTCCAGCTGCTGTTTCTTCTCGACAGCTCGAGCAGCAGATGCGCCATCGACTCGAATAAGCGAGGGGCAGCGTCGGCAAGGTCTACTTCGGCGTCTAGAAGCGGCTGGGCGCACTTCCAGAAGCGCGCCCTCGTGCCCGGGCGGCCGCTCCTACCAGCCGATTGATATCAAGAGGAAGCCGCCATCCACGGTGCTTGGCTACACCGACGACCTCATCGGAGCTCCCATCCCGGACGAGTGCTTCAAAGGCAGTATCGTCCACGCCCGCAAGGTCGGTTTCGCCCCACTCCGCGCCCGTCGCAGGCAGAGCCTCATGTTGGACAAACAGAATGGCAAGCGCATGGTATGAGGGCCACGCATTTTACGCGCGTCGTGCCCCGTCTGGCTTTTTGATTTTCCAACGGCTGCAGCGCCGCCCCAAGCCTTGGCCCCCCCCATCCGCGCGCCCGCGGGCGCGGGCCGCGCCGACGGAGATAAGTTCCAATGGCGGCATCTCGCCTCGTGGCGAGCAGGCTGCAGATGGCCAACCTCGACTTCGTCGTCGCCGGCAAGGACGCAACTAACGCCGCCCCAGCACTGCGACCAGCAGAGCTGCAGTAGTCGGTGCGGAGCAGCGCCTCTGAAACATCACCCAGCGCATCTTCTGCGCCGCAGTTCGGACCGACGGCTACGACCACTCAGGGGACTTTGCTCTGGGATCTGAACTCGTGCCAGGCTGCAGTAAGTGACCCACCCCCTTCGACTTCGCGCACGAGCGACAGGCGGGCGCTTGGCTCGACGAGACCACGGGCGACTCCAAGCCCTTCGCCGCAGTCTCCCCAGGTATACGCAGTGCCATCGACCAGTCTGTCTACCCACACGTCGACGACACCCCCAATATCCACGCAGTCAGCCAGGGCCCAGCGAAAGCCTCAGCTGCCGTGTGCAGCAATGGCAGCATCATCGGCAAGCAGCTGCAGTCCCACGGGCACCACCACAAACGCGGAAAAAAGAGAAGCTCGCAGGAGGCTCGCGGACTAGCAGGGAGAACCGTCTCCTGCCGCAACAGGCGCAAGGGCGAGCGTTGCGCGCAGTGAAGTGCCTCCGTGGCCATTTCGCCCTGCAGGCGGCAGCGCCATCGAGATTCAACAAATATTCCAGTGCATCAAGCGCGCATGGAGCACCATGGGCAAGTTCTGGCATAGGAGGGCTCCCTGGGGGTCGAAGCGCGTCATCTCCATCAACGGAGCCATTGCGCAGCAGCGAATGGAATGGAATCGCGCCTCCCCATCGGCTCCGAGCACCGCTGGCTCGTCGCGGCCCATAGTGGAATAGTTGCGCGGGCTGGTGCAGGGCGCGAGCCACCATCATGGACAGCGGCACCATTCATACCATGGGCAGGAGGAGGAGGAGGAGGAGGAGGAGACCATAGAGATCGCCAGGTCTTGCGCGATATCACCCATGCTCATCGAGATGCGAGTGCGATACCTGGCAGGATTCAAGCTTTAGCCGTGCGTCACCGCGACTTGTGCAGGGGGAGGAGGAGGAGGAGGAGGAGGAGGAGGAGGAGGAAGAGAGAGAGAGAGAGAGGGTGAGGAGGACAAGGACAAGGACAAGTCGCTCGGGGAGAGATCCGCGGCAGCAGCAGCAGCTAGGACCTAATCTAACCTCCCTGCGAAGGATACGGACGCGGGCCCCTATAGGGGCCTGCCAGCGGGCACGGACGGAGAGCCATTGCCCTCGGGCCGCGGCCGCACACGGCGAGGATGACACTCCTCGCTCCAAACAGTGCTAGCTCGCATTGAGCGGGGGCCGTCGCGGGCCCAGTCCCTGGGCGCACGGGACCCCTGAGGGGGAGGACGCAAGGCGAGGGAGGGAGGGGAGGGGAGGGCAGCGGCAGCGGCGGTAGCTGGGGGCGGGGGCGGGGGCGGCCGCGGTCCTCGAAGTTCGAGAACGCGGGGGCGCGCGCGCGGTCGCGCGCACGCCGCTCGCCGCTCCGCTCCTCGCTCCTCTCCTCGACCCCCCCCTCCTCCTCCCACCCCCCGCTAACTATCGCTAATTGGCTGCATTGGCACGGTAGCTCACCCTGTTCCCTGGAAGTAGTGGTATAGCTCGGGCTCTCATAAGGGTAACTCCTGAGGTATAATTTCCACCATCGTATGTACCCTGGTTGTCCGTATTTGTTTTATCCAGCACAGATTGCGTGAACTGGCCCAGTAATCATGAGCGAGGGCGGCAAGGTCGTGCATCGGTCGAGTGGTTTCGACTCTCCGTTCAATCGAATGAACGTGCAAATATGGAAAGCCGTCTCTTATGTCGCCGTCGTGTACTGTGCCTCTAGTCCGTGCTGCTGGACGCCCCCGTGTCGGTGAAGCTGGCTGCCGAATGGTATACGTCCTCATTCTTCTTGCCACGTGGAGGGAAGAACTCCTCGAGAGGCGGAGTGTGGCTGGGGCTGTCGGTCGGGTTCTGGTGAACCTCCACCTCCTCGGTCGTCGCGAGGGTGTGCTTGGTCAGCAGCTCTACCATCTTCTGCTCGAGCGTCCCTGGGTTGGAGGAGGGAGGAGGGAGGAGGGAGGAGGGAGGAGGAGGAGGGAGGAGGAGGAGGAGGAGGAGGGAGGAGGGGAGGAGGAGGAGGGGAGGAGGAGGAGAGGAGAGGAGGAGGAGGAGGAGGAGGAGGAGGAGAGGAGGAGGAGGAGGAGGAGGAGGAGGAGGGAGGAGGGGAGGCGGCGGGCGGGGCTGCGCGCATGGACTGCGCGCTGCGCCCGAGATCGACCCGGGCACCTACGAGGTGAAGCTGCAGCCCAAGGCGCCCGCACCCTTCCTCGTGACGGTGGGCTTGGCCACGGAGTCGCGGCTCAAGGAGGACCCCGCCGCCGCGGGCAGAGCCCCTCGCTGCGGCCATTGGCTGCCTTTCGGCAGCCCCTCCGCGGCCCTCGGCGGTCCTCGCTAGCCCTTCCGCGGCCTTCTGCGGCCCTAGGCGGCCCTCGGCGGCCCTTCGGCGGCCCTCGGCGGCCCTTCTGCGGCCCTTCGGCGGCCGCCTTCGGCGGCCTTGTCGATGACCGACGACTCACCGACCGACGACCTCCCCTCAGACCCCCGGAGGTAGTGATTTTGTCAGAGGTCTGGGCCCTCTGCCCAGGACCCGTCTTCCATTCCGAATCGTTTTTTCACAGTCCTGGGGCCAGGTAAGGGCCCCCCGTGGGTGCAAATCCTCAAAAGTTGAAAGCCTTAGTGTTTGTTCACGACGCGAGGCTGAGGGTCTGGGTAGCCCTCCTCGCCCTCTGGCGTGACCGCTCCGTGCTGCGCAGGGGGCCTGCCGAGGCCGGCCGGGACTGCTCGGGGAGGCCTGTCGAGGCCGGCCGGGATCAGCGGGGGGCGCTGTCTGCACGCAGCCCGAAACTTGCCTCCCCTCCTCTCCCGAGGAAGCCCCTCTCTCAAGCAGTGGCGAAGCGTCCTGGCTCGCCTATAGCCCTGCTATACAATGTTCTAAGAACCGTTTGTGGTTTCCACGGAATGTTCTTAGAACATTTCTGGCTGGGGGTGTCTTGGTTTAACACATCGGGTTTATGTCCTAAGAACATTGTTCTTGTTATTAGAACATTGCTGGGTTCTAAGAACATTTCGTGGTAGGACTATAGGAATGCCGGGACGGTCGGTCCCTGCTCAACTCCCCCCCCAAAGGGCCACATGCGAACCCTACCCCTGCCCCCCACGATTTCGGAGGGGGAGGGTGGGGTTCATATGTGGCCCCTCAGAAATCGTGGGGGGCAGGGGTAGGGTTCGCATGTGGCCCCCTACCCCCCCCCCTCCTTGGCATCGGATCCGCCGTACTTTGGTTGATTCTCCGATTCTCAACCTAGGAAGTGCACCCCAGACGATGCGAAAATGTAGGGCGGACTTTTCCGCCACAGGAGGGTGCGGCGGAAGGCGTGGCGGGAGCAGCGTTGGCAAGTGTGCGACTCTCCTGGGGCATGGCGAGGCCGAAGATTGCGACAAACCGCCGCCAGCGTTTCTCAAGGCGTTGGAGGCCTGGGCACTTGTCGACTACACGTAAGAGTGACCCTTCGCCGGAGCGGCCTTTGGTGTGGGGGGGTCCCCCGATCGCCGAGCGCGATGCGATCGTAGCGTCCTGCGCGGTGGAGTTTGCTCCCCCCTGCGGCCCCCAAGCAGCCGCGCACCAGAGGCCACTCTTACCCAGGGCCACTCTTCTCGGCATCGCTCGGACGTGTGCACTTTTCCTCCGGCGGGGACCATCGAGGAGCATCCTTGATCATCTGGCGAAAAAACCACGCGCGATACCGAAAAAAGCACAGGGAAGGGACGTCCGAGCGATGGCCAGTCTCGCGTGCCGCCGAACTTGCCACCATCGCCCACGGCACGGCGGAGCCGCAGCCGGGGCCGTGCCCCCCAGGACTGGGCGCTCGCCGACTCCCGGCGCGCCTGCGCCGACGAGGTGCCCGCCCTCGCCGAGGGCATGTCCTTCCCGCCGACCGGCTGGTCCATCGGCCCCGTGGCGGGCGCGGGGGTCGTCGTCGCCGCCGCCGCCGCCGCCGCTTCCCCCCCCCCCCCTCAGACCTGCTCGCGTCGTTCAAGAGATAAGGCTGGGGGGGCGGGTGTCGGCGGTTTCGGCCTCTGGAGGCGCTCGCCGGGCCCGTAGGAGCGTCGAAGACAGACTCGGGGTGAAGAACCCGTCCTGGGGAAGGGCCCGGACTTCCGCGGACAGCGCATGGCAAAAATCAGAACGTCGCATGTTCGGGCCTGACTCCGCCATATGAGCGCCCTCCCCTCCCCTCCCCCCGCCCCGCGGCTGCCTTCGCCTGTCTTCCCCACCTCCTGCCGCCCGTTAATTTGCGCTTTCCGTTGCCCGGACCGCCTGAGCGCGCGTGCGGACTGCCTCTGCCGCGCGGCGACGTAGCAAAATGTTTGGGCCTGACTCTCCACTCTCCTGCTTCAGTGGTCTCCTCAAGGGACAGAGAATTGCATACACGGTCACTTCTGGAGCTCCGCGCAGATTTCTTGGATGGGCGCTGGACCCCCTTTGGCATCGCTCGGACGTGTGTGTGTGTGTGTGTGTGTGTGTGTGTGTGTGTGTGTGTGTGTGTATGTGTGTGTGTGTGTGCGTGCGTGCGTGCGTGCGTGCGTGCGTGCGTGCGTGCGTGCGTGCGTGCGTGCGTGCGCGTGTGTGTGTGTGTGTGTGTGTTTCCACAGGAAGGAGGAGGAGGGAGGAGGAGAGGAGGAGGAGGGAGGGAGGAGGAGGAGAGGAGGAGGGGGAGGAGGAGGAGGAGGAGGAGGGGGGGGAGGAGGAGGAACATCCTGGATCATCTTGCGGCGAAACACGGTGCGCACGAAACTGCACAGTGCACGGGGCATGGACGTCTGTGCGATGGGAAGCCCATTTGCGGCGCCTCCAGCGCCGCTCCCTGGCGCGCTCCGCGCGCCAGGGAGGGAGTGGCACGGACGAACACAACAACATACCAAACAATGAGGTGGGACCCATCGACTCCTCCTCCTCCTCCTCCTCCTCCTCCTCCTCCTCCTCCTGAGAGCGAACGAGCAGATCCTCCTCCTTCTCCTCCTCCTCCTCCTCCCTCCTCCTCCTCCTCCTCTTTCTCCTTCTCTGAAGACCTCCGAGAGTGTACGTGTAATTATGCCTTTTGGGGGTTCTCGTGAAGATCACTATATCAGCCACCTGCCGTGCGGAAGTTGTGGAAGGTGGGGGGTCGGGGTCCCAGCACCTCTGCTCTGATTTCGGATCCGCCGTACTTTGGGCGAATTCGTAAGCCAGCAGAGATGTTCGCCCTACTTGTCCGAGCTCCTTGGCCGTAGATTTCCGCCCTGATTTTCCCGTCGCTGATTCCGGCATTGTCTTGTTGCTGAAACAGCCGCCCTATCTCATTGAGGAGAAAATTTCTGCCCCCTATTTTTTCGCATCAAGTGCTGTCGGAAAATCAGCCAGAGCACGGCGGATCCGATGTCAGGGCAGACCTCCAACGTGTGAGCAAAACTCGAGGCGCAGGTTTTTCGTATTTCTCCGCCTCCCGGGGCCCTTGCCAGGCCCCGTGACCGTCAGAAAACGATTACGGATGAGAAGCCGATCCCCGGGAAGGGGTGGACCTGGCCCTAAGCAGCCGGGGACAGCTTGTCCCCGACGGCAGCCGGGGACACGCTGTCCTTGGCGGCGGGGAGGGGGAGAAAGAGCAGGAGGAGGAGGAGGAGGAGGATGGGGATGATGGTGATGATAATGACGACGATGATGATGACGATGACGATGACGATGACGATGACGATGACGACGATGATGATGATGCTGATGATGATGATGCTGCTGATGATGATGCTGCTGCTGCTGATGATGATGATGATGATGATGGTGATGGTAATGGTGATGGTGATGGTGATGGTGATGGTGATGATTATGATGACGATGATGATGATGCTGATGATGATGATGATGATGATGATGATGATGGTGATGGTGATGGTGATGGTGATGATGATGATGATGATGTTGATGATGATGATGATGATGAGGAGGAGGAGGAGGAGGATGAGAATGATGAGGATGATGAGGATGATCAGGATGATGAGGATGATGAGGATGATGATGAGGAGGAGGAGGAGGAACAGGAAGAGGAACAGGAGGAGCAGGAGGAAAAGGAGGAGGAGCAGGAGCAGGAGGAGGAGGGGGAAGAGTAGGAGGAGCAGGCCAGGATCCCTCCCCCGCCCGTCCCCTTCAACTCCTCCTGGCGTCGGCGGTCTCAGGTGGTGCGCCTGTCGGAGCATTTCCACGTGCGCGAGGGGGTCCTCTCCAAGATCCCGATCCAGGTGACCAGCCCGTCCATTCTGTACATCGAGGCCTCCCTCCCCCGCCTGCGCGCCCGCTGCAGAAACTCAGGCATCCAGCGTCCCGATTTTCTTGTTTAGACACGGGCCCCCGACCTCTCGACCACTTCCCCGGGACCAGTTCGTTCATCCCGAGCCGTTTCTTGACGGTCCCGAGGCTCGGTGAGGGCCCCCCGAGGCCGAAACAAGTAAACAAAGCCTCCCGCCGTGTTTTTTCCATGACCCGAATGGGTCTGGGCCCCGCCTGCGCGCCCGCTGCAGAGAAGGAGGCAGGCGCGGCGCTGGCGGGCGAGGCCTAGGGCTGTGGAGGACGATCAATGGAGAGGAACCATGTTGCCAAATAATTTCCAGATGTCTAAAGCATGTAAGCATATGTTTTAAACATGTGAGACAAAAAAGACATGGTTGAACCATGTTTAGATCATGTTCTACATACCTTAAAGACATCTTAAATTCGATGGTAGGACTGTTAGAGTGTCCATTGTCATGGCATCCACAAGCCTAGGGGGGGGAGGTCAAGCAGCAGTCGAGGGGAAGCCGCTCTCCCGCCCGCCTCTGATCCTCGTGATCCTCCAGGTCCTCCTGCTGCGCATCTTCGGACGGGGCTCGGGGCTAGACAAGGATAAACCCGAAATCCAAGGCGTTCCGGAACGCTCTCAGAGCGCTCCGGAACGCTCTGGGAAGGCCACGGCGCCCGAGACATCTTCCAGAGCCGCTTGGATCTCAGAGATCCTCGATTCATCCTCACTCGATTTGATCCTCGTCCTGGCTCCGTCCTCCCGGATGCGCCTCCTCTGCTCCTCCTTCGGGTCGGACGACCCTGACTCCGGATCCGCCCTACTTTGGGGAAATTCGTAAGTAGGGCTTGGAATTTCCGCCTTAATTTTCAAGCCCCGCTGATGCCAATTTCCGCCCTACTTTTCTGTTGCTGTTTCCGCCCTACTTCTGTGGATTTCCGCCCTATTCTATGTTGGGTGCAGAAATTTCCGCCCTACTTTTTCGGCTTCTTATAGGTGGATTTCCGACCCAATTTCACGTTGGAAAAACAGCAAAAGTAGGGCGGATCTGGAGTCAGGGGAAGGGGGGGGGGGGGATAGGGAAAGGGGGGTGGGGGGTACGAAATCTGCTGCATGTCTCCTCCTCGTCCTCCCTCGTCCTCGTCCTCCCTCGTCCTCCCTTGTCCTCGTCCTCCCTCGTCCTCCCTCCTCCTCGTCCCTCCTCCAAAGGCATGTCTCCTCCTCGTCCTCCCTCGTCCTCGTCCTCCTCGCGCCCCTGGCAGGCCTCAGGGGGCGGACGACAGGCGCGGTTCGATGCTCGAGGGGCCTCGGGCGTTCTCGTCGGCTCTGCGGAGGCTCTTGCTCGGCCCTGCGGAGGCTCTCCAGCAGCTGCGCCTCGCCGGAAGCTTGCCACGGGGTCCCTGGACCCCAGACCTCCTCGAGCCGTGAAAAAATCACGACGGGAGGTTTTTCTCTATTTTCGGCCTCTGAGGGTCCTCACCGGGCCTGGGGAGCGTCAAGAAACGACTCGGGGTGAAAAACCGGTCCCGGGGAATGGGTCTGGACCTTTGGGGGTCGCGTCATGAAAAAATCATGACGTCGGGGGTCTGGGACTGGATCGTCACGA